AAGTGTGTAGTAGTAAACTGATTGCCAATATTTGAAATTTATTATGAACAAATAACAATGTAATCAGCGGAATATTAATTCCTTTTTTAGGTGAACTGAAATAACAAATACAATGACAAACAAACAATAAATATACTTCCTAAAAAACAATAAATATAAAAGTGGACTAAGCTAGTTAAAATTAATTACTTGGATTGGCTTGGTCCATAATACATAAGGTATATTATGCAAGACAAATATTTCTAATAAGAATTTTCTGCCTGAATCGCCGTCTGGCCACCTCAATTTGAGGTGCTTCCGAGTAGAATCTTTTGATGACATTTTGTAAGCATGTTTTACTTGAAGTGTAGATTATATCCATCAAATTCTAGTTTAAAATTTAACCGGGAAGTGAGTTAAATAAAATATTGAAAAACATATATTTTGACGTAGTATATTTCAATTATTTATTTAACTGACTTCCCGATTGTATTTTAAGCTCACATTTGGTGGACATAATCTATACTTCATGAGAAATAAGCTCACAAAATTTCATAAAAAATTCCACCCAAAAGCACCTCAAATGAAGATTATGCATGCAATATATACGAAGTTTGGTTCCTGTCTAGGAACCGGAACGGAACTGGAACCGAACCGGAACCGAACCGGAACCGAACCGGAACCGAACTGATCCTATACCATAGGAACCGAACCGAAAAAGCTGAAGTCCAAGATTATAAAAACCGAACCGAACCGGAAAATTCGATTCGGATCGGTTTTCCGGTTCTAAGTCCAGCCCTAGCTAAACTTCTCATAATAATTCAGTCAAAAAGAAGCACCAGCAGCACGTACAGTAACAGCTTGCCCGGTGAGGGTATTTCTTTCAAATGGTGAGCTGCAACAGAATTCCCAACCGACTGCCCGTTCATGCATTCCGGTCAGTTTCTTTCCCGCCACTAGCTTCGTTTAATTACTCCGATTCTCTATCGCTCAACCATCCTCACTCTTCACATTCACATACCGATCCTTCAATCTCTCTTTCCTTCTCTGGAAAAACCGCCATGGCTACCGCCACTCTGCAACTGCAGATCCTTCTTGTCTTACTCATTCTCATCTCGCTTTTCATATCCGCAGCTACAACCGACACGGGAGCCCTTTCCGAATCACCATCGTCACCTCCACCGTCGTTTGACTCGTTTCCGCCATCACCGGAACAGTCTTCCTTCGACGCTAATGTTTACTCGCCTCCGGCTTTCGCGAACATCCTCTATTCTCTAGGGTTCGAGGAGCTATCTACTGCCGCCGCCGGAGTGAATCTCTCCACCGGCGCTCCGATCACTATCTTCGCTCCTGCTGATTCGTCGATCCTCACCTGCCGCGCCTGTGTTGTCCGGCTGCTACTGCACGAGCACTCTGTTCCTGGACTATATCCGCTCGAATTCCTTCGGAAATTAGCGTCTGGCACTAAAATCCAAACTCTCGCCGAAAATCGCTGCCTCACTATCACGACTACTACTTCCGTGATTCGCGATCAAGCGCAGGTTTTCGTCAATGGTGCAATGATCACTCAGCCTGACCTGTTCTACAATGGCGTCGTCGTGATCCATGGCATCCAAGGCTTCGTAGCTCATCTCTCGCCGGAGTCCTGCAGTATGGAGCATATTAATTCTCTCTCGTTTCCTCCCCAATCATCTATTTCTTCATCGGAAACGAGGATATCTATCATGCACCTGATGCTGAAAGACGCAATCATCCGATTGGAGAATAGCCGGTACAGAATCGTGGCATTGGCGATGAGAGTGAAATTCGCCGAGCTCTTGAAGCTGAATTCAATGACTGTCTTCGCCTTGGAGGACTCCAACCTTCTGGCCGGTAATGGATTTCTGTACCTCTCGAATTTCCACTTTCACGTTGTGCCGAATCGGAAGATCCTTGCATCGGAACTGTTGAGCCTGCCGTCGGGAAGCCTGTTGCCGACTATGGATAGGGAACACAGCCTGGTGTTGACCACGGCAGGGGAAGGAGGCAGAGTTACGCCGATGAAAATAAATTACATAAGCATCACCAGCCTGGATATGATACACAACATCAGAATTGTGATCCACGCAGTGTCTTCCCCATTTCCCCACATGTTCAGCCACATGCATGGTGAAAATTTTGGGCAGATGGAACAGTCGCAGTGCGGTTTCGGATCTGATGGTGGAAGCTTTTGCGATGTGGACCCTCCAACGCCAGCTGGAGTGCCATCAACGATGGAAAGCGATGACATGGCGTCTGAAATCTGAACTTAAAAGCTGTACGTTTGTGTTAGTCTCACTATACACAGCATTGACTTTCATTCTGTAACAGCTACTAGCTCTGAAGCCTCTGATCTAGTCATAGTATGGTCTATTGTTCTAAATGTTGGTTTCTGAGAATCTGTGATTTGTACCTCTGGTACAAGTCCATTTCCATTTTTCCAGGCAATCATAATTCATATGCCTATTTGCGTCCATATGACTCGCAAAAACTGTTTGTTTTGCACCTCTTCTTACATTACATTACAAATTACTAGTACTTGTCTTCCCGTTTTTATTTGAATTCTTACTGAGTAAAACTTGTTGTTACTCTGTATTTTGAACAAAAAGATTCAAGGAAAGGCACACAATTTTACCTTCAAGCTACCAGTGAGAACCATTGATCAAAGTTGCCAAAAGTAGGACTTTTATACGCCGTACTCCTTATAACTTAGAGGCACATCTTCAAGAAGAGTTCTTTCTTGAACTAAATGATCATTGAATTAAATTCCTATCTACTTGATATTTTGGCCATTGTTAGTCAATGAGGGTAACAACTTTGGCCATGGTGGTAGGAATATATTGCATACTGTTTTGTTTTTAGGGCCTTTTACCGTACACCAATTAATTAAAGAGTTTGGGTGCATGAGCTTAATATAACCATAATAATAATAAATCATTTGCTTGTATTTTAATTTATTGATGGGCCAAACATCACAAAATAGAGAGGTATGCATTCACATGCCACTCCAATGGTGGAACAAAGAAGTAAAATAAAACTAGAAATGGAAATTATCAGGAGTAAATAAGTTTTGGAAATGAATTATTATTGATCCTATGAGTTTTATGTCATTTTCACATTTAGTCACTTTCTTTCACTTTGTTTACCTTTAGTACTTGGCTAATGTTTCTTGATCATTTGTTGTCTTTCTCCGGCGATGTTAACCATTAGAATTATTGCCGGAAGGGCCATACATGGGCGAAAACACAATAGTCATATATCAAAAGTGGTCAAAGTAAAAAACATGGATCAATTGTGAAATCGGTGTGATACTCGTAGGACCAAAATTGGAATTTATAATTTTGAAAATACTACCATGTTGAATTCCAAAGCCTGTTAAGTTGTCAACTCCTATTTTGGGAAATCTTCCAACTAGAAAAGAAAATAGATAAAAATGGGACAAGTTTTGTGAAAGAAAATGAGGATGGTGAAATGTATAAATGGTACCTTCACTATTGATATTGTTGTATTTTGGTACCTTAATTTTTAAATAAAAAAATCAGTACAATAATTATACACAAATGTTTCAATTCACAATATTATTCATATTTCTGACCAAAAAAACACATGTGACGGCTGAAATTCTATGCGTAAAATAGACTTCACCCTACTTTTGTCCATATCATCACTGTAGGGTGGACTCTACATATTGAATTTTGATCGCCATGTACGATTTTTTGCCCGCAAATTTGAATAATATTCTCAATTGAAAACATTTATGTTTAATTATGTTATTGATTTGATTAATTTAAAAGTTAAGATACTAAAATGCAACAATACTAATACTTAAAATTCAATTTATTTGTTTCAAATAAAATAAAAAGGTTGGCTTTTATTATTTTTATATGAATTGATCATACGTCGTATTAAGATTAAACTCACATTTGATTATTTGGTCTTTAAACCATGAGGCTCCATGACATAAAATGATGCCATGCTCGCATTCCTCTTATGTATCCCCACTTGTGATCATGGAGCCTCAATAATATCCTTTTTCGTTGGTCATTTTACTCTTTTTTATTCAATTTGTTTGAGTAATGAATCACAAATATACGAATAGGTCCAAAAGCTGGTCAATTCGGTTTTCCAAAACGACTTTTAGTGCTCGATTAGTGTCCAAATTCGTCTTAGCAAACAAATAAGGAGTATAAGGAATACTAGGAGCAAGTGGGCAACCATGTTTGGTGGTTCAAATTTTCAATCGGAAGTCTATTTGCGTAGGTTATAGTTCCTGATTTGTTTCTCTTGAAGCTCACACTTAGATATATATCTTGATATTCATTACTCTCTATTTCTTCAATATTAATAATGACTCAAGCTTCTGTGCATTTTTTTGCATTTCCAGTTAAATGCATATACTGAGTTATAGCAAAGGTGTGTGTTTGTATCTGTTTCCTAAACTGTTAATGATTTTTTTTTTCCTTTTCATCAGTGCGCTTGGTACAACTCAATCTGCATTGGGAAAACATGATTCATTTGATCTTTATCTTAGCCAGTTTAAAAATCTTTCCTTTCATAATGAAGCAAGAAAGTAGTTCAGGATAGAGGATTTGCCTGACTAATGAGATTAAACACATCTCCAAAGTGAGTAAGGTCTTAGATCTTTATCATTGTCATTTCTTGAGCTGCAGTTGGGTATTTTGGGTGGTCTTTTTAATTAGCAACACAAGCCATGGTCTTCTGTTCTTTTACCTCTATGAGTGCTTTCTACTATATCATTGTTAGATTGCACTTTGATAGTCTTTTCTATTTTCATAAATTTCTGTTATTAGTTATTACCAGCATCATTGTGCTAATTCATCATTTTCTGCAAATTCGTTATTCAGGTAGATCAATGATATAAATTCTTTGTGTAGCTAACCTTATTGATTGATATTTAGTGTTGATATCCTTTCAACATTTTTACTTTTTACGAAGATATACGGCATGAGGAACCTCTGCATATGGTTGCTGCATATACTTTAGGCCTTTGTATTGATTTAAACTCTTAAAAATACAGAATACATTTACAACCTTAATCGATTGGTAAATTTCCAGCTCATAGACCTTACGTCTCGTTCTAAAACTCAACATTTTTATAATGATTGTAATGCAATAGATTTCTTGCTGTATATGATGTATATTTTATTTTCTAACCAATTGAACAATATTTGATCTCACTGGACTGCTCTGTGATGAAAATCAGATTTGTTCTCTATTTTCTGGCAGAGTTACATTGGCATGTGATCTAATACGCTCTTCGGCTTGGACTGCCTGCAAGAGGTAAGCTTATATATATTCATCAATCTTTTCATTGTAAGTAACTAAAGCTGTTTCACTATGCATTCTCTTTCTACCATCATAAGTATGACAAATAGTAATTACAGAAATATAGTAATTCTAGAAATATAGTAATTCTAGATATTGAATTACTATACTCCCTCCGTATTTAAAAGATCTCTACACTAGGGGTTGGCACAATATTTAAGGGGAAATTAGTAGGGGTAATGAATAGTGTAGAAAAAGTGGGGGAGAAGGTGGAAAAGTAGGAAAGAGAAGATAAGAGGTAGAAAAAGTAAGGGTAATTGAGTATTTGTAAAGGAAAAACTTACCAAAAAGGGAAAGTGTAGCAAACTTTTAAATACATCCAAAAAAGGAAAGTGAAGGAACTTTTAAATATGGAGGGAGTAGTAATTCTGAATATTTTAGTTTCCTTTTCTTCTTAGGTTTAGGGTTTAGTTTTCCTATCCTATTGAATTGAAATCCTATGTACCATTTTTTTGTATAGCACTCATTTTTATTTGGTTGAAATTGTGTTACCCTTTTTATTGTATTGATTAACTGATTTACATCGACCAATCAAACTGAAGCAGTAGTAAAGGAAAAGGGGTACAAAAGATTTGAACTAGCTTCCTGCTGGGTTCAAGGTGATCATTTAGGTATATTAATAACATCACAATAGTCTTTAGTACTGATGTAGTTCATGCAGAGACAGCAGAGTAGTTTGTTTTTCAACACATACCTCTTTATTCCAGTTGGCCAGTAACAGTTTCAGTACAAGAATGACAGTTTGAAGTATTGTACCGGCTAACATTCCCATCCAAATTCCTTTCACACCAAGCTTTGCTTTGTAGCCAAGCAAACCTCCTAAAGGAAGACCCACTATGTAATAGCAACCTATGTTTATAATCGCAACTGAATATTGCCACCCTGCACCAACTGCAACCCCTGCAAAACCACATAGCCCGTGCTTGGATTTGGGAAGGAATAGATAGCAGAGAAATGAGTGAGCAAGAGATGTAAAGAATGATATATTAGGAAAAGGAAACACTCTGTGTTATAGACTTTATGTAGTGTTTGATAGGAGAGACATGGAAAAGAAATTGGTGGAAATCAAGAAGGAATAAAACGGTTGTGTGACCCAACATACTTATTGGAAGAAATGACAAAAATATAACCCCTGACTTTACAATGGATAAAAATTGGACCAATTTTAATCTATAAACAAATTACTAAAACAGGATTGTCTGGTGGTGGTGGTGGAGTCACTGGGAATGACATACCAAGATTGACATATTTAGTTTCTTTTTTGGAAATATTTAAATTTAAATAGTATTAGCAACAAATTGTCTATGAGTAATATTTAAAGAATATTGGAGGAAAAACCCCTATTTATCCCCCCTCCATCTATTTCTCTCCTTCACATTTCATTCCCTTTTCAGCCTGACCAAACAAAGTGATAATGTTGGTGAATAATAAAACTGTGTCAAGCTATTGTGTGGGTCATTTGAGTTTCTGTTTTGAGACTTGCCATGGAGCACGGGTTGGATGCTGTTGAGGAGGATGGTTACTGCTAAGAAGTGTGCTAGTTTGGATGTCTCTTTTATGACTTCGGGTTTATCAGAAAATAGCCTTGGGAAGTTATTTTCCGTTGCAAGCACTGCAGTTGTAAATAGAACCCCAAACACTGCTGATGTGACTATGGCCACCACAATTGCAAATTTTGCAGTTTTTGGATGCCCTGCTCCAAGTTCGTTCGAGACTCGCACACTGCAAAAACAAGGAAGTTGAACCTTTTATTTTTACCCCCTTTCTAATTTCTATATTTTACTATGACTATATTGACTTATAACCTTGTATTCCAAAACTAGATTGCATATGAGTTCACGACCTATAAGATTTGTGACCATGTTGGTAATAATGAAGTGTGAAGTAGGATAGTATATGGCCTTTTTTAAAATTAGAAGATCACATTCCGTTGCAATAGTTCTACTGACATATGTTAAGGTTAATGCCAGGTTTAGTAGTGCTGCAATTTGGTCATTGTGTTTCTTTTGGACTCAATTTGATTCTCAGCTATGCAATTTGGACCTATTGTCATCCTTATGTATATGTTTCTCTAATTAAGAATGACCTTTTCATTCACTAAGGACCCCAAATTATATAGTTGAGAAGAAAATGTAGTCCTAAATCGGGTCTTCTAATGTGGAACCATGTTTTATATATATAAACTACTAAATCACATCTGAAGTGATGGCACCAATAACCATATTGAGCTCATAATTGTCAAGAACCAAACATAGCAATCATGTTATTCATGTATAGTTGAGGGATTATTAGCTTAATGTTTACTGCTCCAGTGACCTGATTGCTGCATTGAAGCCTAAAGTGATCATCAACGTCCAGAGTTGCAGATTCATGCTGTGGCAGACCAGATCAAAAGGGTAAATCTAAGAATCAAGGTAAAACCAACGGTAGGAGTTTGTGCATACATATAGCAATTATTATTCTCATTGGAGAAAAGAGGCAAATAAGCTCTCGAACTATTTGTGATTCTGCAATCAGGCCCTTGAACCGGAAGACTTGCAAATACACCCTCCAATTCGTTGAAAATTAAGCAACCGGATCCCTTTTTATTTGCTGGTGCAAGTAAGGAGATGAGAAATTACCGGCACCAACAGGTAAAAAGGTTTTGATTGCTTAATTTTCAACGAGTTGAGGGTCTATCCGCAAGTCTTCTAGTTCATGGGTCTGATTGCAAAAACGCAAATAGTTTGAGGGCTTATTTGCCCCTTTTCTCTTCTCATTAAGCCACTAACCAGATAGATATGGCATCTACTGCAATTTCAGGATTCTTCAACCTGCCAACCATGAGGATCACCACTGTGTAGTACCACAACTCTAAGCTGCCATTGTTTTTATTCCATTAGCTGGAAAAATTCCATAAATAGGGCCAAAACATACCATGTTTGTTCATATAGGACTCATTGTTTTTCCTTCGAAATATGACTCATTGGTTATAGAAGAACTATTACCTACTTTTATTCCTTTTTAGAAGTTAGAACTAAAAGAGTTATCCTTTTAGCGCATAATCTGTTTTTTACTCCTATTTGTAGTAATATCTTTTCTTAGTCTTGTAATCTAGACTCACCATAGCATCACAGCTGAGGCAAGTGAGAGCTTCAGAAAACCAGAGAGTGCTTTGAAAGCTGACGTTGAAAACCCAGTCCATGCCTCGGGGAAGGAACCAGAAACAACATATATGTTTTGAGCTATAACCGCAATCCACCATGATATATTTCCTGCCATGGCGGCGCCAAACAGTCCCTTTCCAAGCTTTGTTACAAGCACCCAATTCAAGACAACATGAAATGCCAGTACGAGGATGTTTATCACTGTGATTACCCAGATTTTACTCTGAGCTTGGAGGAATTTTTGGACTGGGAAGTTTAATGCGTAAGCAAACAGTTGAGGAATGACCCATTTTGCATATTTCCCGGCGAGCTCTGAAATGTCTCTGCTTTGGCGAAGAAGCTCTAGTAATGGGGATGTGAAGACGTAGAAAGGGGTCAGCAGTAAGGCTGTGAATAAAGTGATAATGCATGATCTTTGCATGTACACTCCAAGCATTTCATACTGCCCTGCACCCACTGCTTGCCCACACAGAGTCTCTAGTGCACTTCCCATTCCTAGCTAATACAAGAAGGGATTCAGGTAAAATCAAATATAATAATTAGGAGACCATGCAAGTTTCTCCTTATGCCTTAGCTTAAATAGGACCAAGTATGTTTTATTCCTTATATAAGATTTATTTAGTCCTATTAAAATAAGATGTTAGTTTAAAACTTCCCAAAATAGGAATGATTGAGCTCTACTATAGAAATAACCATGGAAATAACATACTCAGTAGTAGTTATTTATGAACTTTGTCTTTCTTTTAGTCATGTAGGGAAGTTTGAACCTGATGGATTTGTTCTTCTGATACATAAATGCGTACATCCGACCTCCCTTACCACACTGTACGTGGGAGCCTTTGTGACACTGGGTAATGATGATGATGATGATGATACACAGGTAGAAGTGAAAGGAAGTACTTACCATGACACCATACACGAAGCCTTCGATGACACTCTGAACAATGGAGACGGCAGCGAGTTCAAGAGCTCCGAGATGGCCGACAAAAGCCACCGTGACAAATCCAAAGGAGAACTGTGCCACCGCTGTGAGAATGGCCGGCGCAGCTATCTCCCACATCTTCTTCCATTCATCCCACCACTTTCTTCTCTTCCTCCCCACGTTTCTCGGAACCTCATCATTGTCACGTGAACCTGTCCTCTCCATCTCCAGACCACCTCGATCCATTTGACACTAAATTGTCAAACTCTTTTTGCTAGCCAGCCGCTTCTGATCAAATCCGATCCTCTAATTAATTCATAACCTCTCGTCTCTAAATCTTATCATTGATAGGTAGATAGCTATATCTAAAAGTTAAGCAGATATTTATTTGTTAGTTTAAATCGTTGGGAACTAGAAATGTTGTTACTTGCTAGTAGGAATTATATAAACGAAACTACTCCACGAAAGATGCATGCTACTATTTTCCCAATAACAGAATTCTCACTCCATCCCTCAAGAAAACATTGCCAAAAAAAACTATGATTGGAGTTTTCTTTTTGTTTTTTTAGCAATACGTACCACTTTACATAATACGATAGTACAAAACATGAATCATATAAATTCACTTTTTTTGTTACAATCGTGTCATCTCCTCTTGTTTCTGCCATTTACTAAACTAACATGTTTGCAACTCCTTTACACAACCCGTCCCCAATTTTTACCACAATTTTTATTGTGAAAAGGAGTTGCAAATTATCCCATATTTAAATTGTGGTACAAATTCCATTGTTTTAAATGATGATCCCTGTTAGATATTTGATGTTGGTCTAGGATAAGACCCTTGGTCAGTTGGTCGTAAAAGTGTGGTGGAAAAAATAGAAACAAATGGTAATTGAGAATGTTTTTAGGTGGAATTAGGGGTGGGCATAACGGTTTGGTTTAATCGAACCGTACCAAACCGAACTAAACCGAACCGTATGCAATTTGGTTTGAGTTTGGTACTATTTCTTTCAAATCGTATTAAACCGAACCGAACCGAAACCGATAAAAACCGAACATAACCGAACCGAACTAAAGAAACTCAAAAAAACTTTCATACATTATTAAAATTGGTGGTTTGATTTGGTTTGGTTTGGGTTTACATTTGGTAAACATTTGCTCAAACCAAATGGTTTGGGTACTTTGGTTTGGTTTAAAACGGAAAAACCGTAAATAGAACCGAATACCGAACTATATATATATATATATATATATATATATATATATATATATATATATATATATATATATATATATATATATATATATATATATATATATATATATATATATATATATATATATATATAGGAAAATCTTCCGGTAAGGTATACCTTACCGGAGTTGCCGTGCGGCCTCCACGTTTTGAGGGCCTTCCCAGTGGAATTTTTTGATGAAATTTTTTGAGCATGTTCTTCATCAAGTCTAGTACATCCATACCAAATTTCAGCAAAAAATTCAATCGGAAAGGTAGTCAAACGATTTTTTGAAGATAACTGTGTTTTATATGTATGTAAAGGGTGCAAAAAATTTTATGTGCACTTTGGAAGGAAACGGTTTTATAGTTGTATAAGGAATCATGGAACGTAAGATAAGGGATTGTAGAAACGGTCAATTAAAAAAGTCTTCCTTACCCTTAATGAAAGTTTAGGCGCATGGATTTTCTTAATCTAATCCAATGGTTAAGATGAGTTCTTTTTCCCTCTCCTAAGATTAAGTTCTCACATGAACCTAATATACACTTTGTATTTATCTTCACTCTTCATTTTAAGATATAAATAAATACTTTAGACATGAAAATACATATTTAAGCATATAATCGTATCATTTTAACTTTTACACATTTTATACATTCATTATGACAAAGTTAGCTAATACGACATATTTGTATTCATTATGTTTGGCGATAACAATAGCAAATTGCATTTATATTTTACATGATTCATTTGAATAAAATTGTGAATATTACAACATTTGTACCACTGACTCTTTTAGGTTTTCTTGAATATTTTATGTGATATTATAAATGCTAATCAACTATCTTATTTTTAGTAAGAAGTGAATTTTTTGGAGTGATAAAAAAGATGTTAGAAGTTTTAATTTATACTATTTATTATTTATTTTTCTATCTTTTATTTCCTTTTATATTTTATTTAAATAATCAATAAATTAACAAAATATGAGATAGACTACTACTTTCATTTTCTAATTCTAAAATATAGAACTTGATCAAATAAAATAATAAACATAAGCAAACGAATCAAATCAAACTAAATTAAACATAATATTTTTTACTTTGGTAAACCGAACTTCAAACCGAACCGAAACCAAACCGAAACACAAATGATTTTAGTTTGGTACAAATTCTCCCAACCCGAATAAACCGAAATCGAAGAAAATCGAACCGTAAACTGAATTACCCACCCCTAGTTGGAATGGTTTCACTTCGCGATTAAATCATAACAGACCAAAGTATCAATCTAGATATAAACGTATTAGAGCAAAACACTGCATATTTCGACGCTCGTAAAATACATAAAGAAGATATAGCTATCAAATCAAGTCAGGTCAGATTTAAATAAACCAAATCAGATAGATTAGACGAGAAAAATACTTCGAGCTGAGTTAAAACATCCTAAAAGTTGTTAAATAGACTATTTGTATTCCAGCTTCCATAAGTGCCAAGGTAGCGAAGCTTGGGTTACGTTTGAACATCATATGCTTGAAGCAAAGTAAACAACCCCACAAGATTCCACTCTAGAGAAACTCGTCCAAATGTCCAATGATAGTTTTGCCATTATTTCACGGTTTGACTTATTTTTTGTGAACTTAATTTTGTTCAAGTAAATGGACTACTTCTACATAAAGGCTAAGCATTTTTAACCTTGTGTTCACGGATTTGATGCTTTAGTTTGAAGGGATTATTATTTCCATTATGATATGTTACGTGTGTATCACACATTGATACAACATATCTTAACGTGATCGATTGATCAATATCTAGGAAATTGTTAGCTGTCAACGATTTATGAGAGGAGAATGTAACAGATATCATTAATTTCACGTGGGAGAATAAGAGCCCGTTTGGTAGTAGCCAAATTGGCTCTATTGACAGATTTTGCTGAAATTTATAAGTTCTGATCGATGTGGTTGTATTCACTGATTCTGCCGATGTGTGAAAAATAATAATTTAAAATACATTTTATTAATAAATAAAGAAAAATTATATGAAAAAATACCTAAAATGGCCTTCTACAGTAACTTCAGTCAATACAGCCAGAAAATTAACCTGGACCTTACTTTTCTATTACTCCGTGTTACACATTTCAGCTTATAAAACCAAATGTTACGAGTTTGGTGAAAAAGTTGGCTTATAAGCCTGAAAAGCTGAAAATAATGGCTGCCAAATGGGCACAAGTATTGAGCATGAACTGAAGCTACTCTTTCACTTTTCTTACAAAACTATTTCCTACATTACTAACTTTGACCAATTTTCTTTATTTAAAATTTTAAATGTCCCAAAACTTTATTACTTCTGAAATTTGTATGGTGATTTCTTTCATGTACTTCACCTTAATAATGCTTAGCCTAATCCAATATAGTACTCCCTCCGTCCCTAAAAATACTTTCAACTTTTCTTTTTCGTCCGTCCCAAAAAGAACTTTACTCTCTCTTTTTGATAAAGAATTTGTGGTTCACACAATTTCCATTTTCAGGGACGGAGGGAGTATTTGTTTTGTTAAGAACAAAATCCTTGAACTGAAAAGAAATACGAACATCTAAGCTACTCTTTGAAAGTTTTATAGTGTGCCATTAGAGCATAGACACTTGACAACATTTTAAATAGCTTGTTTTTGAACATTACCAACTTTAGTGCCAAACATCTTTATACAATATAATAAAGTAACAAAGTTGGAGTAAGAATTGGAGGGAAAAATCCCACCCAAAATAAGGACAAAATAGGGAGTTAATGAAGAAAGCAAATTTGTTAATTAATTATACTAGGTAAGAAATTTTAGCAATGATGTACGTAAGTAACGTATCATTTATGCTTTAGAAATGATTTGGTTTTCTTTTATTAAATCTAGACTAGATATTATAATACTACGTATTGCTTTAGTTCATGACTTCATGCATTTGTATACCCAATAAATTTTATTTTAAATATATATGGCCATATATATAATAATATAATATTATGTCAAAAAATTCTTAATTTTGTTGTTTCTCTATCCCAGCAATATTGAGACAAGAGGGTGTGACACTTAGGAAAATGAGTTTATGTCATTATGTGGTTGATATAGAATTGATAAAGTGAATATGATTTAAAGTCATACAAATTTATCAAATTATTATAGTAATAGTCATAATAAGAGCAATTAATATCATATGGAAGAAAAAATATTAGATTCTAACTTTCGTAACTAAGATGAAAATAAGAACATGAAAATTATAAGTTGATCTATTATGCTCATTCTAAAAGAATGTAAGGGTCCTAATATGGAAGAAAAGAGTTTTCCTTTCCAACAAAATTTCTCTCCCTTTAATAGTGATGATGTGAAAGAAAAAAGGGTGAAGATAAACTTTAATAAGTAATCTTTTCTCTCAATTGTTATGTTTATTTTTAAGTACTACTCAAAGTAATAAACCCATAATAATTTTTGTCTCCAATATTAGTACCCCAAGTGTGGTCTATATAATACCAGTCACCCAAAAGAAAAATATTAAAATTCTAATCGTATAACAAACTATCCTCCCATGTAGGATTTCAATTTTTATCTCTCTCTATGTTAATGATATTTATATAACAAAATTTAACAAAGTGGCTGCAAAGTGCAAACATTGACTAGAAAATTCCCACTTAAAATAAAGTGAAATTACATATGATTATATCTCAAGTTTAGTGAATAACTTTTTTTGGGTAAGTTTTTCTCAACAATGTCAAGCTTAATGTCTTGATGTAGACATTATATTGTTGAGAAAAAACTTATCAAAAACTAATAAGGCCGTTGAAAGAATGAGAAAGAAATGTCATAGATATATTCTTTTGTATCTATCTCTCTCATGCCACATATCTACATTGTATGCATCCACTAAAAATCACCCCTCCATCCCATGAAATTCTTCCCGATTTGACTTGGATCGGAGTTTAAGAAAGTGAGAATAAAGTGAAAATATATGGTTGCAATTGAGTAAGAAAAAAATAAATCAATGTTAGCCACACAAAATTTTCCAAAAGGGAAATAGGAAGAATTTTGAGACATCCCAAAAAGGTTAGTGGGAAAAAATTATGGGACGAAGATAGTATATTACCTCTGTTCCGGTAGACTTTGCCAACTTCAAAATATGCGAGAAATAAGAAAAGTAAAAGTTATGATACTGTGGTCTATGCACAGGAGAGAGAAACAAGTCGAATCACAAATTTATTCTTTAAAAGGAAAGTTAGAAAGTTTTTGAGACAAACGAAAAAGAAAAATGACAAAGTTGAGTGAGACGAAGAAAATATAAATTGGGAGAAAATTCTCAGAATAAAAATGTTATGGGTTTCAAAATAAAATTGCTATGTTATTCTTTCAGATATATGAGTATTTACTATCATCTTCGCAAAAATGTTGAATGCTTTGAATTTAATGTTGTATTTGATGTGATGAACTGTTAATGTTTTACAGAAAGTCAAAAAGTTTTTGAAAAGTTAGTATTGTACTACTGTTACTATTTAAAGAAAAGTTTCAATTTTATGAAAACAAATTCCAGTTTTCCCCAAATAATGAATAAATTTCAGTAGTTTTTTTAATTTTATATTTCATATTTTTTTCGGTGTCTTCGATTTATGCTGAAATTTACTGTTGAGTTACTGCACTCTTATGGATATCCTCTCATCTCATTTCTATATGTAATTGCTATTCTAAATTGTTTCATGACTTCCCTTGAAATGAAAGTATTTTGATATCTACATATGTAACCCAGTAATTATAATGCATGTAGTCATAATTGTGTGCTGGAACTTATGTGTGCTTCACTAAACAAAAGTGAGTTGTGCAGACTAATAACTCATACTTCGAATTAATTTCTTATACTTGTACTTCTTTAATTTACAGATAGATGCGGTTGAATATGAATGATGGTCTGGTGAAGATCAGTTCTTGTTATTTTGGAGTGAAGGAATGCTGGAACGCTTTTTGAGAACTT